CATTTATTAGTTTAAACAGTTATTAAACATTTATTACTGTTTAAACAGTTAAACATTTATTAGTTTAAACAGTTATTAAACATTTATTAACATCAGAATTCTTAATATTTGGGTCTAAAAACCAGCAACCAGAGGCCAGAGTCCGGGTTCTGGTCCAGCTCAGTGACCCGGTCTTCATCATCATCACTTCCTGAAACACTGTCCTCTGCTTCAGGAGATATTTTGCTAACAGACATTAAAGTTTGAACAGTTAGTTACCTGATAACTTAAGTATTTTATTTGGTGGGAACTTTTGATTTTTGTGAAGAAAGTAAAACTTTATTTTGTAGATCGAAGCACAAAACCTGTTTAAAATATTTTTGTCAGTTTGTATAAAAAGTGAAATAATTGTAGCTTCACTGAAAACTCTGAAATCTTCCTGAAATGTTTTTATTTAGTGTCTCTAGAGCTGCTTTTATTCAGTTTAAACTCTTTGAAACAATAAAAAAATATTTTTACAGCTACTTTATGAAAAGTTGGGTTTTTATTTTACTTTTTAAATTTAATTTCCACTCTAAGGCCTGTAATTCTGGGTTTTATTACACATTTTTAATGAATTCTCATGAATCTTCAGGTTTTATTCCAGTTTTCTGATCAGCAACACAATTTGATTCTGAACAGTAAATTTGTTTTGAAGCATTTTTAGAAAATAAAACTAATCCTTTATTTCATAATTAGTCTGTAAAAACAACGTTAGAGTCTGTTGAGTTTATTCTGAAGTTGTTTATTTAAATTTTTCTAGATTTTTATTCTTCAGGAAGTTTCCATCGATCAACAGTTTAATTGTTTCAAAACTTTCTGTTCTTTAAAACAGAAAGTTTGATGTTTTTATTCACTCATCACATTTAAACGTCACAAGACCGGGCTTCTTCTGAACAGGCTGGGCTCAGAGTTGTAAACTAACTAAGTACAAATACTTTGTTACACTTAAGTAGAGATTTTTGTTATCTGTACTTTACTTAAGTAATTATATTTCAGCGTACTTTTTACTTCTACTCATTACATTTTTACACAATTATCTGTACTTTCTACTCCTTACATTTTTAAAAAGGTAAGAAGTAGAACATCACTACTAGTATTTTATTCAGAGTTGTTATTATTTTAAAAATCCTCTCCTGATAAACTGTGTCTCCTATAGAGTGAATTTAATTGTGTTTGGATGAGAAGTATAAATATATACCATTCTGACACACTATTAGCTTGTACACAACCCATCACAGCTGCACGCTGTTAGAAAATATATTTTTTGGAGAAGTCACCTCCCAATAAATGTCATTTTGGAAAATCTAACTGCTCACTTTTACTCAGTACTTTTACTTTTGATACTTAAGTAGATTGTGTGTCAGAAATTTACTTTGGATACTTAAGTACAAAAAATATCAGATACTTTAAAACTTTTACTCAAGTGATAGTCTTAGAGAAGACTTTAACTTTTATCAAAGTACTTTTAGATACATGTACTTTTACTCAAGTATCACTTTGAGGTACTTTATACAACACTGGCTGGGCTGGTAAAAACAGCTTTGGGCAGGTTGTTAAAATTTGGTCTGTTTTTTTCCCACACTTGGCAGTTTTTTTAAGTATTCATAAGGAAATTATATCAAAATATCATGAGTCACTATATTTGTATATATATCAGTGTATATATATCAGTAACAAGCTTTTTTATATTACACACGGCTAAAAATAGATATTACTACACATATAGGTACCTATATTAAAATACATATATATTTACAAAAGTTTAGTTAAACAGTAAGTTTTAAGTCTTTAACAAAAGTCTAAACAGAGTTTGCGGTCGGGCAGGAAACTGTCAGTCCTATCTGGCAACCCTGAGCAGGTGGGCGATCATGTCACTGCTTCTGTGGGTTTGTCTGTTAGCAAAATATCTCCTGAACCACTGGACGGATTTCCTTCAACTAGAGGTTCTTTCAGAGTCAGCCTGGTCCAAGATGGCCGCCAAAGAGACGTTTCCTGGGAGTTTAAAGAAGTTTTGAAGCTCAGCTATTTACCGTAGCAAAACCAACAAAAACAACAATAAACTGTAAACAAACAAACAAGAAAACTATTTTCCTGGGAGGAAAAGTTAGTGTTCGGGTTTTGGTTTTAAATTATTAAAACATAAGTTTAAGTTTTTATTCTGTAAAGTTTTGTTTTTCATTCTGAGCTGAAAAATAAAAACATTTTGTTTACGTGAAACAAACACAAATAAATGTTCATTCTACAATATTTATTATTAGATTATAAAGTAATATATAAAGTATTATAAAGCGTATGTGTGACGACTTTTTAACTAAACTTATTGAACAATAAAACAATTTAAAAGTGAAACCTGGAGGAAAATCTGTTCATTTTAATAAAAAAAAGTCAAATAAGAGGATTTATAACGATTTAAAGGAATACTCAGGTCGTCATGTCAGAGTTTTAAACTAAAATAAAATAAACGTGACGTTTGATCTCCTGGTGCTCAGAAGAGGACGACTCTCTGCTACTACCACTCAGATCAGTTTGTGTCATTCTTCTGTTACTTTAATCAACTCCAAAACTCCATCAGCTGTTTCCAAACATCCAAAATTATCTTTCTGGGAGTTTCCTTCAGTTCCGTCCAGCGGCTTGGGAGATATTTTGCTAACAGGGTTGACTCCCTCAGTTTTAAACACAGATCTTCAACGATTAGTTTGTCCTCTGGTTGCACGTTTGGGATGACTCTCAGCTACCACTGCGCCAAGTTTTAACTCGTTATCATTAAAACTGACTGATTATTTCTTATTTTTATGTTTATTAAGTTTGTTTAGCTGGGGCGGTTAACTTGGATCAGACTGACTCCAAAAGTTAATCAGCTGTAGATCCAGATCCAGGGACCAAATCCTGGGAGTTTCATTAAACTTTGTCCAGTGGTTCAGGAGATATTTTGCTAACAGACAGCCTAACAATAAGAAATCCTTATTTTTTGTGTTGTGGCGGGTGATAACAACTAAAATATTCGTTATAACAAAGTAAAACTGTTCTAACTTGATGTTAAATGTGTTTTATTTCCTGACTCAGGTGAGCTTCAGGTTCTAACTTTAAATCTGGACAGGTGAGGAGCTCAAAGTACCGGAGTTTGGCCGAACCGGGTCAGGCTGCTCCGCCGGGTTAATTGGACTAATTGCTCCTCGGGTGGGACGTTAAGTTTGGGGGGTAAAACTTGTCTGAGCCCCGCGTTCCGCCGCTGCAGAGGCCCGAGAAAAAAAAAAAAACAAGTTAAAATGGAGGTTTGAAGCTGAAGTGCTTCAAACACTCAAACTGTGTTTTTCTTTACGCCACTGAATAAATGTTTTATAACCGCTTTATTACGCAGCTATAACTGTCCGGAGCTCCGCGAGGGGGGAAAAACACTCCAGTCGCCTTAAGAGCCCCGCTGCCGGGGTCCAGAGGCGGATTTCGGGCTGGTCTCCGTTGTTTAGTCGGTGTTTGTGAGTGAAAACGGATCGTCGCATCGCTCCGACCCGAACAAGTGAAGAGCGTTAGCCGCTAATGCTAACCGTCCAGCTAGCTGCCCGGGCTAACGGCGCCAGCAGGCGGATAACTTCCAGCACCGAGCCGCGAGGAGCCCGCCGGAGGAGGCGCGGGGGAGGCGAGAACACGGCGGAGAGGAGGACGGAGGAGAGCCGGGGCAGAACCGAGGGACGCCATTTTTTACAGCGTAAAACACCCGAACCCTGGCGGAGCGAGGGAGCAGGAGGCGTCGGTGGCTCCAAGTTCTGTCGGCCCCTTGTCCTCCACAACTCCGAGAATAAGAAACACACCGCGGCTACACACACAACAAACACACGGACAGCACACCGCCCGCCGGCTCGCACACCTGCCCGCACACCTCCAGCGACACGCGGGCACGGCCAGCGAGCAGCGGCCGCCGCAACTTCCCCGGCAGACTAAATTAAAGTTATGAAATTTAAAAAGCCCAATGTGCACTTACTCAGCAGCAGTCCTCCTCCAGATTAATTAAATAAATATCTGCTGGGAGCCGATCCACGGCGGAAGAAACGGCGCAGCGACAGTCCGGCCGCCTCCTGCCCGACCCGCCGCACTTTGTCGCCCTATTTTAGGAGAAGTTTGAGTAAAAAACGTGTAAAAACACAGAAACTGAAGCTACAAAACAAGAAGAACTCTTCTTCAATCTCATTCAGCTCAGCCTCATCACAGCGCGGATCCCTGCGCCGCCGAGCTGGAGGAAGGGGGCACAAAAACTACTCCCCCCGCCGCCTAACGCCCGTTTTCCCGCCGCCAACCGTTCGATGTTCACTCCCGCCGCCGGTAAAGTTGGTCGAACGGGGCCGATCAGTGGGCTGAGGCGGCGGGAAGGGGTGTTCGACGAGCGGACTACTTTTTGTGTCGGTGCGGCGAATTTATTTCACTTTGCCTAAGGAACGGCGGTGCTGCGACTCCCATTGCCTAGGGAAAAAACCCGGATGTAAACTGAGTGAAACTCTACGGAGAGAAAGTCCTCACACACACACACACACACACACACACACACACACACACACACNTTGTCTTTTACACACACACACACACACACACACACACACACACACACACACACACACACACACACACTCAGAGGAGTTGTGTTGTTATTTTATTGTTGTTTTGTTGTTCTCCATCCTCCGGACTGTTGCACTTTGAGGAGGAAGAGGAGGATGAAGAGGCTCTTTTTTTTCTTTCTGTGTTGGATTATTGTAAGAAAACATTTCAGTGAAGGAATGAAACCTGAAAACATTTAATTTCCTGAATTATTTGCAATCGAAGACTAAAAAACCAAAATAAAGTATTTGTGTGTCTTTTGTTGTATATCCAATAGTTCCAATAGTTTCAGTTAAATTTAAATTTTTTCATTCTTGGGAATATTTTCTATTTTTTTTTTTTTTGTGTGTGTGTGTGTGTGTGTGTGTGTGTGTGTGTGTGTGTGTGTGTGTGTGTGTGTGAGAGAGAGAAAAAAATCTAGATGAGGAGAAAACCTGCAAATTCAGCTGTTTGATATCAGCAATTCAGCATCTGCGTTTCTAAAACACACCTGTAAGAAAATAAAAATAGTGTTTTTATTTGTAATCATAAATAATAATTTCATAGTTTCATAAACATCCTGCGTCATGACCTGGTTTTCTTCTCGTCTTTACTTCCTATAATAGTTTATGATGTTTGAACATCTTCAAATAATAAAAGTAAAAACATATTTTAAGTCAAACTGATTTATATAAAAGTGAAGGTTAAATTAAGTATCTCTGTTTTCTGCAGATTCAACCAGATCTTTTTTATGACAGACAAAAAAAGATCAAATATATTTACTTGAATGAATTTGAGGGTTTATTGAAATAAATCCAGAGTAACATGCACATTCTGCCCAAATTAAAGACAGAAACACATGAGACCAAGGCTGAGTCATGAAATGACTAACTGAAGTTCATGCATCTCTTGCACAGCTGCCTGTTTTGTCTGGTTTTGTTGAACTCCTGCAGAGGTTTTAAGTGTAGTTTTTTTTCTGCAGGGACTCAGATCAGCCGCTAGAGGGCGTCATCACACCGAACTGAACATCCTGACTTCCTGTCTGCTGTCAGGTTTCTGTCTGCACAGAATGAGATTTAAAACTGAATAAAATCAAAGTGAATGAGTGATTAAAGCGATTTAATGTTTGTTTTGTTTCATATTAGAATGATTTTTTTGCAGAAAATTTATTTCACATTCTGTCAAAAACTGGACAAGATTATTATTAAATTAACTTCTATGACAAAAGGCCACACAAGGCCCCAGAACCACAGGTTGAAGACCCCTGACCAATGAGGAGCTGGTGGATGGATGGATGGATGGATGGATGGATGGATGGATGGATGGATGGATGGATGGATGGATGGATGGATGGATGGACACATAGTTGGATGGATGAACAGATGGATGGATGATGTAATATTTATTGTTTTGTTTGAATTTTATTTTGAAATTTGTATGTATGATTTTTATTTTGAAAGGATCGATATAAATAAACTGGACTTACTGTAATAAAATAAACATTTCTCAGTTGCAGTAACTCGGTTTGACCAGCAGGTGATGATGAAGCGCAGCTACAGGATCCTCAGAAGGACAAACATGAAACTGAGGAATGACTTTTATGAAGCTCTGCCTTTAAAATGAAAATGTTTTATTTAATTTATCTACGGTTTAAAATATATATATATTACAACACCGTGATGGACCTGTGACCAGTCCAGGGTGGACCACGCCCCTCATGTGACTGCTGGACATGGACACCAGTGACCCTGAAAGGAAGAAACAGGTAGATGATGGATGGATGGATGGATGGATGGATGGATGGATGGATGGATGGATGGATGGATGGATGGATGGATGGATATTTTACAACACAAAAAGAAAGGAAAAAACAAACAGATTTAGACAAATAAACAACTAAAAATGTTTTAAAAAACTATAAGTTCTAAATTTAATGTAAAATAAATAAAATTAAGATAAAATGTGAAAAAATCATCCATCCATCTGTTCATCCATCCATCTGTTCATCCATCCATCCATCTGTTCATCCATCCATCCATCTGTTCATCCATCCATCCATCTATTCATCCATCCATCCATCCATTCATCCATCCATCTGTTTA